CTCTGCGCCCGTGAGCAGTCGCGCTTTGGCGATGAGTGTGTGCTGCTCACGATGAGCCCAAGCCTCACGACAGGCCGTATTGAGTGCCAGGCATGGCAGACATCACCGCAGGCAGTGCACTTCTACCGTCTGGGAGTCCTGCGGGAGAAGTCGGACGATTACTCGGACCTTGAGAGTGCCAAGTATGTCCACAGCAGCATCCCACTTGAGGTGGCGCAGCAGGAAACGGACGAAAAGGGCCACCCGCGCGTCGTGACACGGGCGCCTAGCCACGACATTGACACACGTTGGTTTACTAGTTACGTCGCGGTGCAGCAGTTTGAGTCGCCGGTAATACGAAATCTTTTCATGCGTGTGTCACGGCCTGGCATGGAGCCGCCAGCGATGATTAACCTCCGCAACTACATGGAGGACCCAAAGCGACGCAAAGTACCGTTGATTGAAAAACTTGCGGACTTTCACGTTCTTATATTTCTTGCAGAAAGCATTTTCTCTGTGGCAGACGACATGCCGGTTATTATTGGCGCCATTACTAAGCAACGGCCGGCGGAGGACGCGATGCATTACGGGGAGGTGCTGAAGTTGTACTTGGACCAATGAAATGCAGCAACACGAGGCAAAGCAGAAGAGAAAACAAACAACAACAACAACAACAGTATTGTTATTAATACGCATAGTAATAGTGACGGCAAACAGTCGTCTGAGTGCATCACCTGAGATCAAACCGTCTTTCTGTCCACACGTGCAGAAATGTAGGGGAACAGGGAGAAGGGAAGGAGGAGAGGCAAGAAGGCGCATCTGCGGCTTGTAGTACCCATTAAAATAAGGCGGAAGGGAGGGTGGGGACGAAGAAACGCAACACATACGCAACAACAACCGCAGCAAAGATATCACAGGGAAAAAAAAAAAAAAAATAAAATGAAAGTAGAGAAGGATGGGGACGGGTGGTGGTGGGAATTATTGGACGTGTCCGTTTGCTTCACAGAATGATCCACCGCCTTCCAGCGCAGCGTCCACCCTTTTTTATATTATTTTATTTTTTAAATTTTGTTTATATTTTATTTTCTCCACCTTCCACCTTTTTTTTTTTTTTTGGTGTGCATGTTGCCTTTTTCTCTCTCTCTCTCTCTCTATTATTATTATTATTATTATTCCGTTTCTGCTTGGATCTCACTCTTTGTGCGCATATGGCCCCTTCCCCCTCCCTTGTTTTCCTTGACGACATGCCGCGACAAGAGGGAGAAAAAAAAAAAAAAAAAAAAACGCCTACGGCAACAACAGCAGCAGCAACGACAACATTGGAGGGGGAAGAGGAGGGGTGGGATGAGAAGATCACACATTTCCGGTGCTTTTTATTTTATTTTATTTTCAGCATTCAGTTTTTTTTTTTTTTTTTTTGCACCTCTTAACCGCACATCCCTCACCTCCCACTGCACGGCTGCAATGACTTCAGTGGACATCTCTTACATCGTTTATTTATTTTATTATTTCCAGATCACCAGAAGGAAAGAAGAAAAGCAAAAAAAAAAAAAAAACAAAGGAAAAAAAAGTAAAAAAGAGGGGGTATCAAAAGTTGTGGAAGCACCTGTCATGGCGTCCCGCACGCTGTACGATCCACCACCAACGGCTCTTCAGTGGGACGTGGGGCCTCCACAAGAGAAGCCATGTATAACAGTGAAGTCGCTCACGCATGACGCTGAGATGCATCGGCTAGCGTGTGAGAAGGAAAAGGAAAAGGCATGGACGGTGGCTGAAGGGATGCTTGACGCCCTGCTTGTGCGTGTGGCCGCCCAATCGGAGAATGTCATCTCCTCCACGCCACCCTTTGAGCATTCCACTTCACTCCTATCGTTTTTATTATCATCCTCGCCGTCAGCCTCGTCGATGTCGTCGATTTGCGTGCGCATTCCCCCAGTGAATGTTTCTAATCGTGGGTATGCGGCGGATGCCGCCTGCCGAAGCGTGCGGACCCTCGTTGAGTTGGATGCTGCCTCTGCCATCTATGAAAAGCTGAAGCAATCTCTTGAGGCCTACGTCATGCACATTTTGCAATTTCTCACCACGGCCTGTGAGCCCGATGGAGAGGGGTGTTTGACATTCATGCGTCTTGTGCATGTGTGGGGCCATTATCGGCTTGCCGTTGCAGAATTGCAGGAGGTGTGGGTGTATCTGGATCGCTGGTATATCTCAAGAATGCATGCGGTGCGGTCAATCGATGGGCTTGCCGTTGCGATCATGAAAGAAGCATTGCTGCAGCACCAGTGGCTCCTGTCTCGGGCGCAGATGGGATTTCTTACATTTTTGCGTCAAGATTTCGAAAAAGAAAGCAACGTTCGACGGGAGTTACTCCTCTTTACAAATCTTTGCTCCTCTATTGAGGTGTATTTTTTGCGCGTGGAACCAGATGTACTTGCAGTCGCCAAGGAATTCTACACGGGGGTGGCGGACCGCATGTGGCATGACGGCGAAAGCGCGGAGGTATTTTTTCAACAGGTCGGTTGTTTCCTTCAGGAGGGACGACGGCGCGTGCAGGCCTGCCTAGAAGCTAACACCATGCCGAAGTTGGAGGAGATTGCCCAGACGTCGCTGCTGGCCGCACATGGCACGGATGTTCTCGCACGTGACTTTGAGCGACTTGTGAGAGACGAGAAGTACGACTGCATTCGTCTCGCTTGGCAGTTTCTTGCTTTGGGGAAATACGTGCAACTTGGAAAGGAGTGTGGCGCGGTGTTCCGTGAGTACATTTTACATGAGGGCGTAACGATCATTCGGCAGCTTACCTCAAGACCGGCGGATAGGGAGGGATTTGTTGCCGTCAAGGCGATGATTGCGCTCATCCGCCGCGGGGAGAGTGTGATAGATGAGTGCTTTGCGGAAAACTCCATGGTTTTTACGGTGCAGCTGAACGATGCCCTTGTGGAGGTGTTGCAGGAGAACCAGACGGAATTTGCAAGGCAGATTGCACGGTACATTGACTTTCTGATGCGTGAGGAGGAGAACGACACGCTGGTGTCCGCCCCCGCTAACACCAAAGGCGATGACGGTGACGGTGATAATTGCCTTTACGCGGACGCGACTGCGACGGCTAATGATGGTGGTAGTGACGAAGTTGCTGCTACTGCTACTTCTACTGCTACTGCTGTGTCACCTTGTGGGGGTTTGCTAAATTACATTGGGCGCATTTACGCCCTACTTCCCTCGCGGGGCATTTTTGAGACATTCTACTGGCATGATCTTGCGCGCCGTCTGCTGCAATACCAGCGTCCACGGCGTCTGGATGCTGAGAGGAGTTTTATTCAGGAACTCAAGAAGACATGTGGGGTGGAGACGTCCAAGTTTGAGGGAATGTTCAACGACCTCAAGGTGTCGCAGGAATTGAATGAACGATACCAGGCATGGGTGACGGGCAAACGTGATGACACCTCTGCGCAGTGGCCACCGGTGATGCGGGTCGACAACGAAGAGGAGGAGGAGGAGGCAATGTCGCTCATTGCCGAATTTCCCTGGAACACGGAGGTGAAGTTGCACATTTTGACCTCCGGCTTCTGGCCAACGCAGTCCACGTTGGCGGTTCGTCTGCCATCCCCGATGCGCCTTCTTGCCAAGTGTGTGCAGGACTTCTACCGTCAATGCTTCACTGACCGCCAGCTTGTGTGGCAGCATCAATTATCCTCGGCGGTTGTGAGGTGCTCCATGGGGACCGTCCGACGAAACCTCATGGGAACACTTTTGCAGGCTGCCATCCTGCTTACCTTGCAGGAGATGATGGATACAACGCCATCGTCATCATCGTCGCAAAGGGTGGAGGCGGTGACAGTGGGGGCATTGTGTGATCGGCTTGCCGTTGATATTTCGATTCCAGCTGTGTCAGGGGCCATTTACGGCCTGTGCCACCCGAAGTTTTCCCTCCTGCTGCGTGAACCGGCCACGGGGGGTCCTTCTGCCACGGCGTTGTCCATGCTGGCTGGTACCGACCGACTGCGATTCAATACGCACTTTGCTGTCAGCAGCATGCGCTGCCGCATCCCATTCTACAACACTCCAAACAGCGGCGAGGATGTTTCTACCGGCAGGAATGACGCGGACAGCATGCTGGCCGTGGACGATGTGCTGAAGGAACACAAGCACGTGATTGAGGCTGCCGTGGTGCGCTTCATGAAGGAGAAACGTTGTGCGACTCACGAGGATCTTGTCACGGCGGTCTCAACACTTGTGCAATTTCCCGTCACAATGGCCACGCTTAAATGTGTCATTGAGCGACTCATCGACCGCGGCTTTTTGGAACGCAATGGGGCCACGGCGTACACGTACACATTGTGAGTGAGTGAAGGAAGAGGAAGGAGACGATGGCGATGCAGCGCCATTGCATGAGTGCAGCTGCGATGGTGACCACAAGGTTGGAGGAAAAGCGAAGAAATGTCGCTTTGCTTTGAGTGGATGAGGGCTTTAATTGCCGGCCGAGCGGCTGCTTTCCTCCTCCTCCCCCTCATTTTTTCTGTGTTGTGTCTCTTCTTGCCCGCTCACTCCCCGCAGACGGCGAAGACGATGAAGAAGGGAGAAGAAATAACGTGGGCCCTCTGAAACGACGACAGGAGAAGTCATGGCGACGAGTAAATCCCTCAGAAGGAAATGCAACGTCTTTTTTTTTTTTTTTTTGGGTTTTCTAATTCCTGCATCTTGCGTGTGCGTCCCCGGCCTCTGTGCTGCTGCGGCTCCACCGCTCTCATCGTCTCCACCTTGCCCCTCTTTGACTTTGTGCATGGCTTAATGCGTCACGGAATGTGTTGAAGGTGAGAACACAAGTCAAAAGAAAAGTAAAAAAAAGGGCGCACACAAACAAATATATATTTATATACATACAAAAAGGGAAGAAACAACAGTGAGTGAGAACGAGAGAGGGGCTACAGGTACGGTGTGAACTTCGAGCAGCATCGGCATTCAGCTATGTGGCTTGAAAACATCACGAGGGATCTCGGGGACTTCACCAGCAGTCTGATGGAGGACACAAAGGGCCTGGCCGACATGGTATCACGGATTGCGGCGGAGGTGACTGGGCATAGCATCTACATTGCTGGTGACGAGGATTCCCTGTTGGCGCAGGAGTGCCCGCTGGATGAAGCTGCTATCTTTGCACTGCAGAGAACAGACGCGGTGTACCTTGAGGAACCACGCGAGCCGGAGGAAAAGGCGTTGTTTGAGGAATGGATCCGCCGCAGCGTGTACAGCTCTGTCAATGCGTCTTGTCGGGATCAATTTGACGGATCCGACAGCGGCAGTAGTTATAACGCCGCCATGACGTGCCGCCAACGACTTTTGGACGAGAACCCGCTGGTAGCTGAGAAGTACGCCGCGATGGTGCAGACAAGCGATCTTCCTCAGCGGGAGAGCCCATCGGAGTCCAAGACGACACCGGGGCAGCCGTCATTAGAGGGTGGGGAAGGGGACGTCAAGACCCCAACGAAATCCGCCAAAGCTTCCCCTTCTGGCCCGCAGCGCATCACGGAAGATGCGTTTTTTGATCGTTACTTCTTCCGTCTCTCGCAGCTGCGCCTTTCCACTGCTGCAGAGCGACGGAAGCGCGAGGAGGATGAGGCCGCCGCCGCAGCAGCAGCAGCAGCAGCAGCAGCAGCGAAGGTGGCTTCTGAGGCGGAGGCGCCACGCAAGGGGCAGTCGAAGGGGAAGAGCCTCGCCGAGCGTTTCATGGAGGCGACCGACGAGCTGGTCGGGTGGAAGGAGGAGGAGCCGGCGGACGCGAAAGACACCGGCGTTGGAGAAGATCGCAACTCCCGTGGCGTCGTGCACCGCACGGAGGCGGAATGGCGGGAACAGGAGGGTAAAATTGCCGCGCTGGAGTCCCTTGTGCATCTGCTCCAAGTGGAACTTAACGACGAGCGCCGAAAACTAGCGGCGGTGCTGAAGCTCGTCCAGCAGTGCAACTTAAGCGAGAGTCAGATGCAGTGGGTGCACGCCGCCATGAAGACGACGGCGACGACGACAGCGGCGGCCAATTCATCTGCTGCGTCTTTATCATCTTCGCCGCCGACCCACGTAGAGAACCCGGCGATGGGCGGCAGCGGCGCGCATCACGGCGACGGTGCATGCGAGAGTGGACGCGATGCCGCAGTGCAGGAGATTTCATCGTCGGAAGCCGTGCAGCAGCAGCAGCAATGTGAGGAGGAGGTGCCGAGAAACCCGGCGTCCCCCCCCAGTAGCTCCTCCTCCCTAGACAATGACGGCTGGACGAATGTGTAGTCTCCGCGGCCCTGTGCACAGACCGACACCCGCCCTTCACTTCTCCCTTCTTTTTTTCCCCACGGCGAACGCGCACGCACAGTTGAGTTGCGCATGCCGGCGGTGCTAGTGCGTGGTGTGAGGCGGATGCCCCGCGGCGAATGTATGCATCGATACGAGTTCTCCCGTTTCTGCATGTATTCACCTGAGAATTCCAACTCTTCCACGCAAACCAAAATAAACAACAACAACAACAAAAAAGAAACGGAAAAAAAAAAAAAAAAAAAGAAAAGAAAAAAAGAAGTGGCGTGCCGAACAAATATGACAGTTGAAAAGTGAAAGAACAACAAACAAAAAAGACAATCAAAATGAAAAAAAAAAAAAAAAAACGAAAACAAAAGAAAACGAAAAGGAAAGAAAAAAAAACCCAAAAGGGAAGTAAGTATTTTTGTTTTGTAGTGGGATGTAATTTGAAATGTACATCCTTTATTGACCAAAAGAGTTTCCCTACCTTTCTCTCTCATTCTCTCATTCCCTTTTCTCCTTCTCCATCCTTCATGCTACCCATCATTTGGTCCTCCTCTTTTTTTTTGTGCCGTGCCAAACGACACGTGGCGAGTGTTTTTTTTTTTTTTTTTGTGTGTGTGTGTGTGTGTGTGTCTGCGAGAGTGACGATGTGGACGGGATAAAAGCAACAACAACGCGAAGAAGAAAAAGGAGAAAAAAAAAAAGGTGGGGCGATGCCGGCTGTGAGAGATCCGTTGACGACAGGCGTTGAATGGGTGGTGGTGGTGGTGGGGGGAAACAACAGAGAAGGGCGTCGAAGGAACAAATGGAGGGAAAAGCCACATGAATGTGTGAGTAATGGCAATGCGCACAGACACACAGAGGGAGAGAGGGAGGGACAGACGGAGTGGCGGAAAGAAAGATGGGGAGGGGAAAAAAAAAAAAAAAAGATGTTTTGAATCATTCTATTTGAGATGCACTGGACCGCTCTTTCTTTCCTTCTTTCTTACATGTTATGACTCTGCACCCTTTTCCTGCTGTTTATTTATTTATTTATTGTGCCTGTTAACATTTTGGTGGGGTTTTTTTTTATTGTTTTTTTTTTTTTTCGTTGTTGTTGACGACGGCGGCCGTCGAAGTTGTTTTGGAGTAGTCGTTTCTTCATGGCCTTCTTTTTCATGACAACACCACTCGGAATTAAAAGAAAAAAAAGAAAAAAACGAAAAGAAAAGAAAAGAGAAAACGGAATTGGCGGCAATGCGGGGGGAAAAGGGGGATATTATTTCTATAAGGCATGTCTGCTCCACGCAAACAGCCCATATGGCGATGCGCGGTGAATTTATAGGAGGAGGAGGAGGGGATTAAAAAAAAAGAGAAAAAAAAAACGTCACCGAAAATTCTTTCCAACGTTTAACAGGTACATGTATAATACAGCAGGGCAGGGTGATGCGTTTTCTATTTTTATGGCCCAATAAACCATTGGAGATCTGGGAAGGGAAAAGAAAAAAGAGAAAAGAAAAATCTCTCTCTCTCTTTCTGTGTCTGTGTGTGTGTGTCTTCTGTTTTTTTTTTCTTTTTTTTAATTTTATAGTTAAGCTCTTTATTTGTCCCCTTTACAATTAGAGACACACGCATATGTATGCATGCAGAAACAGCGAGAAACATATGTATGTATGTACATGTACATGTATATATGTATTTGTATGCATATGGGAATGCCTAATCACCTACCCACCCATGTTATGTCTGTGTGTGTGTGTGTGTGTCCTTTTTTTTTTTTTTTTTATACTTGGCGCATGATTCTTGTGTTGTTCTTTTCCCCCAGTCTTTTGCCGCAATCAAAGGGAATGGGAAAGGGGGTGGGAGCGACACTGACAGGCACGCAAAAAGAAGCGCGCGTAGCGAGTCCTTTTTTTTACCCCCCCCCCCCCCCCCCCTCAAGA